TGCAGATGCTGATGCCTGGCTCCCATCCTCCAGAGCCTGTGCCATGTCCCCCAGTGCACCATGATGACTTCTGGCCGGCCATTTGGGTGTTGTGGAGGTAAAAGTGAGATCAGAGAGCTGGAGCAGAGAAAGTTTTCCTGATACTGGTTGTTGATGAGCAACAACCTTGCCCTGGTGAATCCTGGTGTGGGCTCCCATCAGCTTTTCAAGGAGGAGGAGATGTTGTCCTGAGGAGGGGGTGCGTGTGGCCTGGCTGACAGTACAGACTTCAACATTATGAAAGGTGTCTCCAGAGCTGCAGGGCAAGGATAAATCCATGAAGAGCAGATTTTGGTTGCTGGTGAGCTTCAAGCCCTTCCTGTTTGTGTCCAGAAGAAAAACAGGTTTGAGCAAATCTACTGGGTGTGCTGGTGTCCTCCTGAGACAGCTTTTCTGGAAATTCAAGAGTAAATTAGATGCATTCCCCAGGCTCTTAGTGTGTATCCAAAGCAGTGGCAGTTGTGTATGTTGTGTCTGTGACCATCCAAGTCCTCCCTTGTTTGGAGTTCACTGGTCCAGCAGCACCCATCAGGTACCGCACCGCTCTGGCGTTGGTCACTCTGTGACGCTTCAGTTCCTTGTGCTTGCTCCAGCTAGAGGGAAAGCTGCACCTACCCTGGTCCCCTGGCTGGGACGGTCGTTCACAACTCTGTATGATGCCAGTGTAAACTGCGCTTTTCCTCCTGCTCAGTGGTCCGTCCTATGCAAGTTTCAGGTAGAGGCAAGAGGAGTTGGTATGTAGGATGAGTAAGTTGTGTATAGTAGACACTTGATACCTAGTGGAGAGAATTACATGGTGACTACTGCTTATGTGCTTAAGAGGGTGTCTGATGCAAAGTTTCCCCTATCTGCATATTATTGAGATGATCAGTTTGTAGAAGCATCTGTGGTTTTGATCATGGCTGATTCCTGGAATTGTACACGTATATTAGCATTGAGCATCTAGGTTTTGGGATGAATGAGCTAGACAGGATGAGTGGACATTCGGAGACTAAATACTTGTTTTGCTTCAGCTTAAACAAAGAGATTTTGGGAATTGAACAGTTCCAGACCCTGTGGTACACGGATAGGTGTGATTAAAAATACCCTTTGCTCTGTGTTAGCATGGGGAGTACTGCCTGTCGTTGTCAGTGGATTGAAGCAAGCTTGCCTTGCTCTTGACTTGTGTGGAAGTATTGTAGGTTGATCGTTTTGGTGTTCATCTAATCTAACTGAGTCCCAAGTTTGCTATAAACATTTCTGTTTAAATGATGATGCAGTTCCTCCGTAACCACCGCCGTAACCCCTCTGGTCTGTTCTGAGAGCAGATGGCAGTTTCTCTGCCCAGCAAGGCATTAGCTTATTCTCTAATTCAGGGTGTGCGTAGGGTCCTGCATGCGATGGTAGGTCCTGGCCTTTCCCCAGGTGGTAGGGGAAGGCAGTGCCCCATCCAGAGCAGTCATCAGTCCTTGGTTTTAAGTGCACTGTCAACTGTGACTGTCTGACTGTGAGGGCTTGGTAAAGGGGAAAGCTTGATTCTTGTGTATTTGCTGTACGCTGTCTCTGTCTCTCTGCAGAACATCGTGTCCAAGAACGCTATGCAGTACCGTGGGAATGCCCAGCATGATGCACAGGAGTTCCTGCTTTGGCTGCTAGACAGAGTCCATGAAGATCTGAACAATGTAGTGAATTACAGTGGCATGCCTCCACTCAAGGTAAGGGATTTTGCTGAGGGCCGACATGGGAGAGTAGATGTAACTTTGCATACCATCTTTCTTTTTAAATTAGATGTCCCTGTTTGGCTTCTCAACTCTGATAGTTTGTATGAAACAAAAGCTTGGGTTAAAATACTGTTTGTTTCTGGCCCTGTGAATGTAACTAGCTGTTTCACTAATCTCTGGCAAGTGCTGCCCAATGCAGTCATTTGTCAGTAGTCGCATACTGCTCTGCGAGAGCTGGGAGGCATTACAGGGGAGCGGCTGCCAGACATATCTGTTGGGAGATCCCTGCATTTCCATGGGCTGCCCTAGCTACCTCACATTCCTGCATAACCACTTGTGTGAGCAGAGCGCACTTGTTATTTAAAAATCTTGTGACCTTTTTCTGGTGGTTTTGGGCAAGGAGGGCACAAATTTGACAAGGAGTACTGGGAGCCATCTGGTGTGGTAGAACTCCATGCCTGGTTGCGCTTCTAGGGTTTGTTCTTCTCTTTTAGCCACCGCTGGAGGATGACGTGCTGCTCGAGGGACCAGCCTTTCCAATCAGTAGTACTTTTGTGCAGGAACTCTTTCAAGCCCAGTACAGGTATATTTTTAAATTTTGAGGCATTATTGGTGACCCCAGTATAATTCTACCCTGATGCTAACTCCTAGTCCAGTTGAGACTGGTGTCATTGT